AGAAAAAAAGTTAGGAAAAGAGTGCCTGCTTATATGTATGTGTACCACGTGTTTGTCTAGTGCCCAGGGGGGCTGGAAGAGGGTGCTGCATCTCCTGGAACTGGTTATAGACATGGTTGGGAGCTGCCATGTGTGTGCTGGGAGCCAATTTCTGGTCCTCTTAAACGCAGCCCATGCTCTGAACCTTTGAGCCATTTCTCCAGTCACCAGAAATGAAAAAGTGTTTCACATGATGAGCATCAGGTAATTCAGGCTCTGGGATGTTCCTCTAAATCTGAACATTTATATGCTGGGGTTCTCATTATTCAGTTCTCTGAAGAGAATTTAGGTGGGTATATATCATTTTCAATAATGTTACTATGCCACACTATTTTTTTCGAGTGTTTGATGGGTGTGAAGAGTGGAGTCTTAAAATTGTTATGAGTTCACATGAAGTGGTCTATTAAACAATTTGAAAGACAATTCATCTGGTTTAGGCTGCAATCGAAATCCCTGAGCACCAGTTGCTGCCCTTTGCATGAAATAGATTTGAATCTCAGTATTTTTAAATTATGAAGAAACACATTATAGCTTCCTGCTCGTCAACTCGGCATTTGGTAGCAACAGCATCCATGGCCCTTTGCAATTGTTGGGTATTGCAGAGGTGGCAGATAGGATAAAACAATCTTAGGCAAATTAATTAGCATATGACTATGACGTCCAACCCTCGAGTCGGAAAACAAAATCCTGCTTCCTTGTTCTAAGCTCTGTTGTCATCTCACAACTGGCAGCCCAAATCAGTCAGAGGCCTGCCGGTTTTATTCAAAGGCCTTGCTGCATTTGAAATTCATGTCATACTTCATAGCATCGTTATTTTGCTAGGATGATAAGAAATAACGTAAATTTTACATCTAGAGGCCACGATATTCTCAGTGGGATAAGGAAATAAGAAAGCCGTATGAATACAAATAGCTGGGAGCTTGAGAAACATTAAAGTCATTATGCAAGTACTTGACCAGCCTGGGCTGTCTTCCACAGAGACCAAAGAGATACTCTCTCAAGTAAAAGAAAAACAATCACAAAAACAAGATTCCTGGACCTGAAATTCTTAGAACAGTAAATGTTCCCTTTCATTACAAAAAAAAAAAAAAAAAAAAAATCATATAAATTAAAATTTTTGAGATAAAGCATGGAGGTGATCCTTAAAAGCTATCACGGGGGGAGAAGGTAGTGTCACCACAAAGCAGGGGATGATCCAGACCCAGGCCAAGAATGCTAACTTCCAACACACGCTGGAAAAAGGTGGGAGTGGATTTTCAACGCCAGCTTTCCCAGGGACTATGACCTGGCAGTCACTTCACAGTGTGACAGGAGAGTCCTTTGCTCTATCTAGGTAAATCTGCAGAGAGGCGAGAAGCAAGCAGTGACTTTAGTGTTGAGTTCCAGAGGCTCGCAAGACAAGTTTCTAGATCCAGAGGCTTATAGCTCTAAGCCTTGGCTAAAAGAGGCTTATGGCTTCAAGCTTTCGGAGCTGGAGGCTTATTGCTCTTCGTGCTCAAGTTGGAATTGAGTCTTCACCTTTTGGTAGCTCTCTTCTAGCCACTAGTACCTATAGTGCTCATGGCTTCAGTTCCAGTCTCTAACTCCTAATGAACTCTTGACTCCTGGAGCCTTAGTATCTCATGGTTTCTGCCTTCAGTTACTCTCTGGAGTTCTTTAGCTGATCTCTGGAGCTCTTCAGTTGTCTCCTAAAGTTACAGTGTTCAGGGATGCTCAGCTCTTTCTGGATCTCTGGAATTCTTCATCTTCTCCTCATTGCCACTGCTGCTGCCTAGGCTGGAAATCCCTGGAGCCTGGTCTGCTCCTTGGTTATCTACCCAGCATGTTCTTCCTGTGATAAAGGCAAGTATGCAAAGAAGCCATTTAGGAGAAGCTTGTATTGGCCTAGTATTCAATACTAGTGTATAGGTCATAGGAGAGAAGTCTCCCTGACAAACCCCAAAAGGATGGAAAACAGCCTGCTTACTTACACAGCCAGAAGAAAGGCATATCAATGCTTGTGCTCAGCTATAATTTTGCTAGTTAAAGCCTTATATAAAGCCCAACCACATAAACCTTTACTAAGGATGCTCGATCAGAAACAGTCTCCTTTCTGTCAATCATGAATGTTTTGCTTGATCTCTACTGGAGGTGCTCTTGCTGGTCCCCAACTCTCATAGGACCATGATTGATTAAAAAAAAAAAACCCTTCCAGAATGGCCAATAGACACTCTGGGGCACATGTAGGGTCATGTGGTGATCACTGGAGTTTGTTAGGTTGAAGTCCTCAATTCAAGAACACAACTTTCACAGGACAAGAGATAGTGTTTTCTGGAGATAAGTATGAGTGACCATGGCCTAGGAGAAAAGGCTCCCTGACAAACCCCCAAAGGATGGAAAACAACCTGAGGTTACCCCAAGTTCCATGTTGCAGTGTATTAACAGTTCATTTAGGCTTTTATAGTATCAGAACAAAGGAAAGTCTAAAACAGGGCACTTTCAAGATTTATTGGTGGAAATGCTAGACAGCGAGGTTACAGAAAAGGGGGCTAATCTCTGCTCTAGGCTTTGGATGCTACATAACAGCATTTTTAGTCTTTTGGTTGACTGGAAACTAGGAGTCTGCTTGTAGATTCCAGAGGATTTACCTAATGATTACCTAAGTGTTGGGTCAGGAAGAAGAAGGTATTAGGTACCTATTAAGGGGTTAAAGACACCTTAAGACAATTTGGCCCTTGAGTTGTAATAGTCAGACCTTCCCAGATTCTTATAAAGCTGGAACAGTTGTGACTGGGGCAAGACCTCCTGAAGGGGAAGCCGAAACCTCAGCTGTGCTTTCAGTGTTCTTGGCTGTTAGAGTGGGGTTCCAAGCGGAGAGCTTGGGACATTGACCCAAAGGTGGGCTAGGCTGTCTGTCTGACAGCCCCCTGCTTTAGATAGTCTTCACAAAGGGAAAAGTTTGGCAGCTCTCATTCAAGGGCTGAGTAGCTATGACAAGGAAAGTTTATTCATCCACTAAAGAGAAGACACCATGATATGAAGCACTGCTTTTATGACATAAAAAATTAACACTCTGAGTAGTAATTAGAAGTTTACAACCAACCCATGACCAAGGTAGGTAGAGCAACTGTCCATCTGATGTGCCTGACTTTGGTTTAACCCATGATACTGTCCTGGGACTTAATACCTACATAGCTATGGAAAAATTCATTCCTGCTGTGGTGATTTATTCCTTCTATCATGTGAAACTACTGAAAGAATGTGTGTGTGTGTATATATATATATATTCCGGATGGATATATATATATATCCGGACCTGAGGAAGTTCTGCTAAGCAAAAACCTGAAAGTGGTGAGGTAGCTTTGGAACTAAGAGAAATTTTGAATATAAAAGTCTCAAGATTGTCTCAAGAAGATTATTGATAGAAATAGCATATAAAATGCTCTCATTGAATGCTCAATAAAAATGGAGTAACACAGTAGAAAAAAAGACCACATTGCCTTATACAATATGAATTGCCATATGTAGGATATTATTAGAAATAGCAACAGCAATGTTGGTGTCTTAGGGTTTCTATTGCTGCAAAGAGGCATAATGGCAACTCTTCTAAAGAAAAGCATTCAGTTAGGGCTGGCTTACAGTTCAGAGGTCTAGTCCATTATCATCGTGGTGGGAAACATGGAGGCGTTGCAGGCAGATGTGGTGCTGGAGGGGTAGCTGGGAGTTCCGCATCTGAATCTGCAGGCAGCAGGAAGAGAGAGTGAGCCACCAGGTCTGGCTTGGGCTTCTGAGACCTCAAAACCCATCCCCAGTGACACACTTCTTTCAACAAAGCAATACTTACTGCAACAAAGCCACACCTCCTAATAGTGCCTCTCACTATGAGCCTACGGGCCATTATTTTTCAAACCATCACCATTGGTGAGAGCTTAAAAGGAAATTAGAAACACTGTATTGGAAATTTGGGATGGGGGACTGTCAAAAGCTTGCCCTGGTTTATTCTTACTTCTTATAGTTAAAACAAGAAAAAAGTGGGGTTTGGGGGAGGGTGAAGAAGGAATAGGTAAATCAAGAGAGCTGTTAGCATAGGAGCCCAGAATTAATGATTTGGGGGAATTCTTAGCACATTCAGATAGTAACAGATTCTCGAAGAAGGGATTGACTATTAAGAAGGAGTGCTGTAAAAAAAAAAAAAAGACTATCAGCCATGACCTTCCATTCCCAATTTCCTGGTGATGATGTTTCCTGATGGTTCTATTCTTGCCTGTCTTTAATATAATAAGGGATGCTAACCAATGGGGAAAGCAGACACTTACCATTCAGAACACTGACTTGTAAAGATGGGGTTATAGACCAGTTGTAGAATGCTTGAGGTCCAGTCTCTAGGGTTAGGCTATTGAAATGAAACTATTATTGTGTAGACTTGGAATTTCTGTCATTTTTGACATGCTGCTGTAACATTTTGTACTGATTCCTCACTTCAAACATTCTGCTGAGGTAGGTGTGAATTAAGCCTCAGAGAGTGGCTTTAAAAAGTCATGGCAGTTTAGTAGGTTTGGATATTTAGTTTTTATGCCTTCTGTTAAGTTTTAAGCAGAGCGAGAATTAGTCAGTAGAAATGATTGGCTTCTGAAACACTCGAGACAGTGACAATGGTTGACTTCCTCCTGTCATTTTTTTTTCCTTATATCTGTCAATTACTTAGAGCTCAAAAAGTCTACAAAGGAGATATGGGACGTATTCTATAGCACTTTCAGCAGATAGACTGATAGTGTTGAGTACCCTCTCTTCATCAGTCCTTCAGGGCCCACTCCGCATTGCATGGTCCAGTTTTGATTGATGAGTTGATGGTGGGGTGGGAGAGGGATGAGACTCCAAAAGAGGGTACAGTTTAGAAACAGGCCACTTGGGACGATAGAGCGGACTCAGCTCACCAGTCAGAATTGGCTCTAACGAAGGCTTGTCTTTGTGATTGTTTGCAGAAAGATTACCACTTTGAATATACAGAATGTGATAGCACTGGCTCCAGGTGGAGGGTCGCCATTCCGAATTCTGCTGTGGATTGCTCTGGCCTGCCTGACCCAGTGAGAGGCAAAGAATGCAGTATGTTGTGATTTTTTTTTTGACCATTTGTTTTCCTGATTAACCCAAAAGCTCATCCTATCAGTTCTAGATGCCATCATAATAAAGACAAGAGACCTGGCAAGAATGTAAATGTATTGTCGATATCTAGCAAAACAAAAGAGTCTTTCTTGAAACATTTTATTAGCACGTTTTTTCCAACTTTGTTTGTACGTATCTATTGATGTATGCAAGTATGCCTGTAGGTGCAGCTACAGTGTGTGTGTGGAGGTCAGGGGGCAACTTGGGAGAATTGGCTCTCTACTGTCACCATGTAGCTCCTGGGGATTGAACTCAGATTGGCAGGCTTGTCAGTAGGTACCATTACTCAGTGGGTGTTTCTCAGGACTTTGGGTTTTTGGGTTGAAGTGTTTGATGCAATATGCACAATATTAAAGGATGTTATTTAAAAAAAAAATCTGTTCTCTTATTTGAAATTATGGGGAGAAGATTGACAGAACTGATCTTTGAGTTTTAAAAGAATACTTTTTAATTTAATTTTTTATTTGTTATAATTTATTCACTTTGTATCCCAGCTGTAGTCCTCTCCCTCATTCCCTCTCAATCCCACCCTCCCTCTCTCTTCTCCTCCCATGCCTCTTTCCCAGTCTACTGATAGGAAAGGTCTTCTTCCCCTTCCATCTGACCCTAGCCTATCAGGTCTCAGCAGGACTGTCTGCATTGTCTTCCTTTGTGGCCTGGTAAGGCTATCCCCACCCCCAACATAAAACCAGACACACTAAACCTATTAGAAGAAAAAATGGGGAAGAGCCTTGAACTCGTTGGCACAGGAGACTACTTCCTTAACAGGACACTAACAGCACAGGCTCTAATATCAACAATCAATAAGTGGGACCTCATGAAAATAAAAAGCTTCTGTAAAGCAAAGGACACTTTTTTCAGAACAAAATGACAGCCTACAGAGTGGGAAAGGATCTTTACTAACCCTATATCTGACAGAGGGCTAATCTCCAGAATATATAAAGAACTCAAGAAGTTAAAAAGCAACAAATCAAGTAACCCAATTAAAAAATGGGTTACAGAGCTAAACAGAGAATTCTCACTAGAGGAATATTGAACGAATGGTAGAGAAACATTTAAAGAAATGTTCAAAGTCCTTAGTCATGAGGGAAATGCAAATTGATACAACCCTGAGATTTCACTTTACACCCATCAGAATGGCTAAGATCAAAACCACAAGTGACAACACATGCTGGAGAGGATGTGGAGAAAGGGGAACCCTCCTCCACTGCTGGTGGGAGTATAAACTTGTACAACCACTATGGAAATCAATCTGGCACTTAGTAATTAGTAATTAGTAAAATAGTGCTACCTTAAGATCCAGCTATACCACTCCTAGGCATATATCCAAAATAATACTTTTTAATTGAGTAAAACATGCATCACTTAGAATTCCTTTTTAGAGAGAACCTTTTGTCCTGTGGTGGTAACACATTCCTTTAATCCCAGCACTTGGGAGGCAGAAGCAGACATATCTTTGTGATTCAAGGAAAGCCTAATGTACAGATCAAGTCCCAGGAAATCCAGGGCTATACAGTGAAACCCTGCATTGAAAAACAAACAAGAGAAAGAGACAGACAGAGAGAGAGAGAGAGAGAAAGAGAGAGAACCTTTGAGTTAAGTATATTCATATTTTTTACTTTCATTACTACCCCTGTCCACAGATCTTTTCTACCAATGTATTCCTTTTTCTTAGCCATAGAAATAGTTTAGTTATTTTAAATGAAACTTGTACAGAGACTGTGGAATTGCTAATATTACATTCACTGTCTTGTCTTCTGGCAATTAGAAGGATTGAAATTCAGCCTTCTTAATTAAGACAGAGAGATGCCATCAAATTTGTTTTTATTTATGAATTACCTACTAAATACTTTTTTAGTTTGGTAAGTTGGAAGTTTATGCAGTGAAATAGATCAACCATGGCCCTGGGTTCTACAGCTGGCAGAAACACTATTGATTTTTCTGTGGACTCCCAAAAGCTTTTATAGAAAGCTTCTGTTTCCAAATGAATAAAACGGGTAAGCAAATTATTAAACAGGTGACCTATTCCTTCTTGTTCATACAGTTCATCTGTTGCTCACTGGAAAAAGGTACTGGTAGGTACTGTGGAGACTGCAATAGTTCGATGGAAGAAGAAATCAGAAAAAAAAATTGCCATTTTGTTCTTGGTGACTGAATTTTAAAAACATGCATCAAAAACCTGAGAGTCCCCACAATCAGGCGACCTAGCAAGAGTCAGGAAAGATACTGGGATCAATAGAAAAGTAGGTGCCACCCCGCTAGGATCTTGACAGTCACTGCCATACAGGACTTGTTCTCAGTGGGGGCAGAATGTGGTTAAAGGGAAGTGGGGCCCAAGAAACAATGGTACAATTGGCTTATTGTACAATCTGTATTGTATTTTCCAGTACTTTGTACCCTTGGGGTTATTTCCTTGTTTCCCTGTAAACAGCCTTATTTGGAGAGACTATCTTGAACACTTACTCTGTGCATAGAAGGTGTGTTGGTTTGAGCTAGCTCTGGCTGTCCAGTTTAAAGTGGACTACAGTGAAAGACTGTACACCATGGAAATTGGTAGTCATTCCCAATCAGGGCCTTCCTCTCTTAGAAGTCATACTTTTAGTATTTATCAGGATGTTGTTATTAGAACCCAATGCTGAGTAGGAGTGACTTCTACTTGAATGTTGCAGAGACCCTTTTCCAGCAATAACATTCCCCAGATAAATTTTTGCATTTGCCTGTACATCAAGAAATTTTTTTTTCCTGGTATTGCACTGGACACTGAGATGACCTCATGGCTCTAGCTCACTCACTGGGAACTTAGCTGCTTTTCCCAAGGCCCTGGTGCTAAGTCTGTTATCTATAGGCATAATCTACCATCAGGTTCTTGCAAGTAGCCTGCCATTCTTGAACTACTGCACTTTTCACCCCAATATTAGAACAAGAGGCTGTGGCCCTTTTTAAACCCCACAGATTGCCCACTGTTGGCTCACTTTCCTCTTTTATCCTTTAGGTTTCTAAAGGCTTTATCCTTTGAGTTTCTAAAGTAGTTCTTAAGCCTTGGGGTTCCTTTGATACTCTTAGATTGTCAAAAATAGTGGTCATCTTTGAGCATTTCCCTACTGTAACTACACACTCTGGAGACAGGGGCTTTTTGGCTTCAAAGCAAGCCTTAGAAGTGAAGGGTGAGGGCCTGGCTCTCCTGGGAGATGCAATGAAGAAGAGGTTCCTTTATATTTACATATTTTTAGAAAGGTCTGAATCACCAAGGAAGAAATGAACACATTTGTTGCTTTTATATTCTCATTCCTTTTGGTGGGGGAGAGCATACCTCATTTACTGCCCACTCCTTCAAGTCTTTCCAAACCCGTAATTTCAAGAGCAATTTCAAGCCTTAAATATATTATTTTCTAATTGAGGATGACTATTTCAATTCAAGATGACTATTCAACATTTAGGATGTTGTAGCTGGATTTTTACTTCTTTCTTCAACCATTCTCCACACCTTTTTTTACACCCTTTCAACCGCCTAACACTAGATATGAGAGAAAAAAAAAGGATAGAGAGATCACTGAATAAAGTAAGGGCTTGGAAAGGGGGAGTCATTATTATTATTAGACTACTTCCTGCTGATTAGTGCCATCAAGCTCCTTGGGGCAAGTTTGAAGAAGTAAGGATATCTGATTTCTTCTTGTTGTCTCTTCTTTGCAAATGACTACTTACCAAACTGCAACCAGCAGTAACCAACTGAACTAAACAACAACAGCCCACCAACCATCCACCAACAACCACTGATTTCCCCTATCAGGGTTCTAGCATTTATGTACCCCCTAAAAGTCTCTAGAATTTCAAACTTCACACAACTGCAGAAACTATCTTCAGTTGGCAAAACCACCCCTCTGCCAGAGCACGAGACAAATCATAGTCAGCTGCTGTGAAACAGCTCCATATCCCCACACTTGGGATTTAAATCAAAACGTGTTCCTATAATATTTCTGTACTTTTAAAGAAACCAAAATTCCAAAGTTCTTACTATAGAATGTAATGACCAGATCAATTTTGTCTTGTGAACTTTGTTTAATCTTGTGCTTCAGTATCGATATTGTAAGACAATGACACATGGAACATATGTTATGTGAAAGTAAACATGCAAATATGTATGGAAAGATGAATCCATAAGTAATAAATGTGTGCGAAGGTTTACATTTGTATTTCTCATAGAGGAGCTAAGGAATTAATGTAGCTTTAATGAGATAAATTTTATACAAGACACATACATATATTTATATTTGATCTTTCAATGCTTGGTTGTAAGTTAATCCTTATTTTACTTGGATCAGTAAGCTCTATGCTCAGATTAGTTTTACAAGGCTTTGGGTACATACCTTTCTCATGTTTCTCTGAAATCTTTTTTATGACCCATATCTAATTGCTCTTGAGAAATACACAGCTATATTAGACAGTTGTACTTACTGGTAGAGGCAAAGAAAAAACTATGTGTGCATGTGTGGAAAAAAAAAAACAGAGAGATTGGTGGCAACATAATTATGAGTCAATACAACAGGAAGATGGAAAAATTATGAATGTATTCAACATCAGAACTCCTAACTAAATAAAGCAAACATTGACACATTTGAAGAGATAAATATAAGCAATACAGTAATATTAGGAGATTTCTGTATCCCATTTATAATAATGAAAGAGTACCCTAAAAGGAAACCACTAGTGAAATGTAGATTTGAACAGTCTTTAGGCTAGATGTTTAACAGATATTTGTAGAGTGTTCTATTCAATTGCATCAAGATACACATTCTTCTCAGGTACATGTTGAAAGTTTGGAGGAAATGCTCACAAGCTAAGTTGCAAAACACATGTTTTATTTTTTAAATTTTAATTTTGTTACATTTTATTCATTATATAACCTGATTGAAGCCCCCTCTCTTTACTCTCCCAGTCCCACC